GCCTTCTCGACATAAGGGGCCGATGCATCAGCGACATCCTTGGCACCCTGGCGGGCTTTGTCGACATAAGGTGCCGATGCCTCAGCAACGTCCTTGGCACCCTGGCGGGCCTTCTCGACATAAGGTGCCGATGCGTCAGCAACGTCCTTGGCACCCTGGCGGGCCTTCTCGACATAAGGGGCCGATGCGTCAGCGACGTCCTTGGCACCCTGGCGGGCTTTGTCGACATAAGGTGCCGATGCCTCAGCCACGTCCTTGGCACCCTGGCGGGCCTTCTCGACATAAGGTGCCGATGCGTCAGCAACGTCCTTGGCACCCTGACGGGCCTTCTCGACATAAGGTGCCGATGCGTCAGCAACGTCCTTGGCACCCTGGCGAGCCTTCTCGACATAGGGTGCCGATGTGTCAGCCACGTCCTTAGCACCTTGCTGGACTGATGCGCCGGCATCAGCCGCTGCATCCGAGGCTTTGTCCAGGCAACGAGCAGAGGTGTCAGCTACTTCTTGAGCACCCTGTCGAGCTGCCTTTGCCGCATCCTCTGCTGTCTCCGAAGCCTTTTCGGCGCTTTCTTTTGCAGCTTCCTCTGGGCTTTGCAGCAACCAGGTTGGAAAAAGGTATAACTTTTCTTTCATAATGGTTCCTTTTAAAGTATAACAGGTCCCCAACAAAGCATTAAAGTATGGTACGCCAAAACCAAGTCCTTGGCCTGCTTCCTGCTCGACCGGTTGAGCAGAGTAGGAAACTGAGTTGGAAGACGCATGGCGAAGAGTGCAAGGAGAATGGCAGAACTAGTTCACCTGAAACCAACACGGCGGCGCTCCACTGAACAAAGTGAGGGTCAGGCGGGGGAGACATGCACGGCGCTTGTCAAGTCTGAAGGTCCGAGCGGCGGCCAACGGCGATGTCTCTTGCACAACTTGCCAGAGCTTTAAGCTGCTTCCCGGCACAGGTGCATGTGGAAGGAAGTGGTTGTGGCATGGTACAGTAACATTAAGGTACTGGTACTGGTGCTGGTGGTGATGGTAGCAGCAGGTGGGAGTAGGAGTAGGAGTAGGAGTAGTAAGAGGAGTAGGAGCACGAGTAGGAGTAGGAGTGCAGGAGGACCAGGCGGGAGTGGAAGCGGGCGCTGGAGCAGCAGCAGCAGCAGTGATAGTCGTCATCATCGCCGTCGTTGCAGTGGCATTGATCGTGGTACTGGCAGGGGCAGTGGTCAGGATGTTTGTAGTGCTGGTGCTGACTAGTAGCAGCAGCATTCCCCAAAACAAGTTAAACAGCAACATGACTCGTATCATAAACGACAGACCTGAAACTGAAGTTCCTGAAGTATCAGAATCCAGAGGCCCCATAGTCGTTCCTTTTTGTGGCTTATAAGTTAGGATCCTATCAATTAGTCCCCAAAAGGAACTACTATGGGGCCTATGGGAAATGGTCAGACATTGAAAGTACAAAGCCCAAAAGGGTCCATGTACCCATATAGTATATACATAGACCCTAAAGTACCTAGATAGGAACTACATTCAGGCCAATGTGTATTCTATATGAGTACATGGACCCTTAGGGAAGTGCAAATGCAATCTGTCCTCGGGCAGCAGTACCAACTTCGAGGCTTCGCTTGCCACACCCGGCTCCCTGCAAGTGACAGTCTATCTGTCTGTTACGTATATATATATATAGATAGATAGATAGATAGATAGATAGAAAGATAGATAGATAGATAGATAGATAGATAGATGGATAGATAGAGAGTTTACATATCCGAAATATCGTCTTTCTGGCTATATATCTAACTACCTGTCTACCTATACTGCTGCACATATCGACCGATCAATCTGTCTATTTGGCTATCAGTCTATCTGCCTATCTGTCTATCTGTATCTATATCTACCGATCTATCTATCGATCTATCTATCAATCGATCAACCTGTCTACACATGTATATATCTACTGGTCAACATATCTTCCGATCTGTCTACCTACCTACCTGCCTGCCTGCCTGCCTGCCCACCTACCACCTACCCGCCTACCTGATCTTCCTGTCCATCGATCGATCTACCTAACTATCTATATGCCGGTCTATGCGAGTGTAATCACATACATATATATATATATATAAGTACACATATGTATGTGTATATAAATATATACACATACATCTTAGCACTGCATGTGTGCTTCTATATATGTGTATATACACATACCCATACACACGCACAGTATGCATGCAGATGTATGGAAATATGCGCATCTATGTCTTGTGTTTGCTCTGTCCCTCAAGGAAGGTTCTGCAATGGCATCTTCCGTCTTCACCCATTATCTTAAACTGTCCTCAAAACCCATGAATTCGCCGGAACTCGCTTTGTAGACCCCGTGCCGATAAAACCACTTCCTTGTCGGTTTGGAGTCTGAAATCATCGCCGGCCTGGGGGATGTGGTTGGGGTTTGAGGGTTTAGGGATTTACTTGGTGTCGTCACCCTAAACCTGACTCAGAAATGCAAGCCTCCTACTTTGAAGGTTTCCCACTGTTCGGACGGCCCCAAACCCTTGTAACTCTGGTGGTCTAATTTAAGCTTTCGGCTTTAGATATAAAGCCGTCTTGACAAAAGTACTGAAACCAGAACCTCCCAAGCTGTTTGTCACCCCTGAAGCAGATAACCCAGCGCCGCGCCTGGAGGCGCGCATGCTCTCCAGTGTGATGCGGAAGGCGCGCTCCACATTGCACTGGGTGCGGAGCCTTTGAAAATGCTTGTTCCCCATGCCAGATCCATTTAGCTACTTTACCTATAGTCTCCATTGTGGTTCTTTTTGGGGATACCTTATAAAATCCCTAATATAAAATTGGTTAAACCAACAAAAGGAACTACATTGGAGACTATAGTGACTATAGATAGGTCCTTAAAAAACGTAGGTTACTTGGGGTTCAGGTAGGTCCTGAACTTATTTGGGGTTTAGGGTTTAGGGTTGAGGTATTACTAAACGATTCCACGGCGGTCCGACCCTCGCTCTGCGCATGCAGGTTGCATGCACGGGGACTTGTGGGTATGATTCTGCTAAGGGTTTAGGGTTTAGGGTTTAGGGTGACCCGTGTCTTGTGTGTGGGTTTAGGTCCAGACGGGAAAGATGTTCCGGATCATGTACACGCGCAGGGTCTTAGTGTTGCTGCAAAAGCTCACCTATTGCCAGTCGGCATTGCTACAAAGCCCTAAACCCAGAGACTCCAATATCCCTTAATTAAGGAATATACCTTAAATCATATTAAGGATCCTACTATAATTTAAGGTATATTCCTTAACTAAGTGATATTGGAGTCTCTGGGAACCGGCAGGTCACAAATCCGTGCTGTTTTCCGACCCCTCCCACTCCCCCAAAAATAAAACCTAGGTGACTGTAGGGTCATTTGCTGGCAAGGAGATGAACGACCAAAGTAGAAGGGCTTTAACAGGTCACAAATACAAGTACCACCTAAACTCTACGCCTTTGAAAGGTGGCAATAAAGCCGTTGTTTGGAGATCCCTGCAACAGAGCACACAAACCAGAGAATAACAAAACAAACTTCGCATCCAAGAGCGGCAAAGTCAAACGCCCCTATCTTGGCACTTGGAACCCTTACCATAAACCCACAGGGTCCTAAGAACCTAGATGGGGGATACTTACCCAAAC